GGCAAAGACAGGCAGGGGCCCCTCTGAATGGAGAAGACACACATAGAACGGACCCGTTCTACAGATAGAGATATGTTAATAGAATAGACATCCATTATCTGTTCTAGGTTTTGTCTCTCTCTTCTTGTCCCTTTTCTTATTTTTCCTCTCTTTGTTTTGTACTAAAGTGGTGTTTAATAATATATATATATATATATATATATATATATATATATATATATATATATAATATTTAATACTTTCAAAAGATGTGACAATTGTTCTATGTTTCAGATTTGATTTCCATTCTCCAAATTTTTGACTCCTGTGTTTGTTTCGTAAAACAATATCTGGAACAACAAGAAAAGATCAGAAATTAGCTTTTTTTTTAAATTAAACGTTGAAAATGATTATCATTTGGTCCAATGCAGTAACAGGTTTGGAACGAGAGGAGAAGGATTTCTTTAGGAGCCACTGGGATCCAGTGGAAAACCTGGAGTTTTTGTGGAGCAAAGTTCTCTGTAGGACCGTAAGTAACAAACATAGAAGGAGGGGATTCAATTATACCAACTTTGCTTTTTGCTAAAGCCAATTTTCTGTGTTTTCCACATTAAACTGGTCTTCACTATGGCGCTGAAGTCCCCCAGCAGAAATATGGACTCCCCTGGAGGGGCACGTTTCAACAAACCTTACAGGGACGCCAAGAAGGTCTGGTTCTCCTATTTGGCCCTTAGGCTGAAACAACAGTCAGAGACCCACCCCTTACCCAAAGGTGAGGGGATGCAACCCTCTCGTCCAAAATGAGACGGCTGAGTCGTCGGACAGACAGGCAGACCCCTCCCCGCCCTCCGCCTCTCCCCATGGGCCACTCCAGAGTGGAAGAGAATCCAGAGCTGGGTTCCAGAGTTCATGCTCCAGTATGTGTGGATGGGAGAACTATTTCTAACTGGTATTGTATTACAGTAGAGCTGGTGAAGATTCTCAGTCATCCAGGTCATCCACTGCAGAAACAATTTAGAAATAACTGAGTATAAACCCTCAATCTGAGCAGATAAATAAGATGACTTGCTAATGGAATGAGGATTTCTACTCTTAAAATAAGGTAATTAGATAATATACACATGAAATAAGACAATTAAATCGTTTTTTTCTTATTTTAAATGTAAATTTTCTTGTTCCATTGGAAAAGTGTCTCACTTACCTCCTCAATTCAAGACAAAAATTACATTTTTTCTACTGTAGTCATTTCAAAAAGTAAAAAAAAAAACAAGCCACTGGGCTTTGTGGACTGGACACCTGATGGACGAAGGACATTCTTTGGAGGACAAGAATGTTCACATTTTGGACAAAGAGGACAGGTGGTTAGAGAGGGACGTAAAGACAGCCATCTATGTTAAGAAAGAAAAAAACCTTAAACGGGGGGGCGTTCAGATTTCAGCTTTCAAAAACCTCCAATGTCATCGCAGCCCCAACCCCTTTATAGGAAAACAGAAGACTTTAACTACCCCCCTTTCAGAGACATAGACAGGTATGGGGCATTGCAGGCTAACAAAGAAGCCAAACGACCCCCCTTTCAGAGGCATAGACAGGTATGGGGCATTGCAGGCTAACAAAGAAGCCAAACGACCCCCATTCCAAAGGGGGGGACCCGTTCATCCAGTTCAATGTGCATGTTGTCTAAACCAAAACAAGGCTTTGTTTTTGGTCCACTCTATAAAACCTGGAACTTAACTCTATTTCTAACATTTTGAGTTAAAAAAGCTTCCTGGATGGAAGAGAAACGTCTTCAAACTTGGAAAAACAGTGGAAGTTCAGTGGATTTTTATTTTTTTTACTTTTTTGAAATGTATGCAGTAGTGTTGCACCAATACCAGTATCAGGCGGGGCCCCAATCCAGCTCTAAAATGGTGGTATCGGTATCAGCGAATACCAACCAATAGGGCACCGATACCATTCTGAGAGCCTAAAGTTTCTTCAGCTATTGTCACCCATTCCAGGTAGGCAATAGAAAGTTCTACTGGATTCACTTTGTTTTAGTCTTTTTCCTGCTTCACAAAGGAAGGCAGCAGCTGGACATGAAGCCATGATGGAGATTATTTTACATCCAGGTAGTCTGCAATTCTACATATATACACACACACATCTATTTCAAACAGATGGTATCGGTATAGTGGCCAAAAAATGGCGTCGTTGCAACATTAGTATAAATAAGTAGTCACTTTTATAACCTCTGTCCTCTAGTTACCGCTATACCAACTACTCAAGTTTAAAATAGTGAATTAAGAAAAGAAAAAAGGTATGTGAGGCTAAAACTATTTTTTTTTCTCAGGTTAAATTGCTTCTGAATCCCTCTGAGCCTGATGGGTTCCTGGCTGAATGTCTGTCTCTCATCTAAACAAAGTTAATGAGAAAACAGATCTAACCAAGTCGGATGTGTCCCTGATGGACCTGCTCTGCTGAGGTTCAGTCTCTCCCTGTGGACCTGGTGTCCTGGGACTGCAGCTGTTAGGTCAGAGCTGATGAGTCCATGCGTCCTGGTTCTGAGCTGTCATGTGACCCAGATACTCCCCTGGAGGGGTTAGCTGGTGTTTCCTGCTCTAAGCCCAGAACTAGCTGCTTCTGATAATAAGAACAAACCTGCTAACAATGGGGGAGGCGACACAGAGACGTCCAACAGAGGCATGATCTGGATCTTTATTGGAAGGAAAACAGGATCCAAGCAGAACATCTGAGCAGGAACCTCAAGGAACAAAAAGCCCTTAATGAGAACCATAGAGTCCAACGCCAGGAAAGGGTCCAGAAGAGACGTAAAACACACGACAGTCAGAATAAAAAACATGACATATGTACAAAAACTCAGACAAAAGCTGTCAAACACAGACTACTGACATCATCTCCATAGAAACTCACTGTCGTTTTTTCAAGCCTCTGATTTTACTTTCTGAGGGACGTAAAAGAGTGGAGCTGATCACTTCCTGTCAGGTTTGATGTTTGAGGCTGAAGCTTCAGACCAGCTGAGAAACGTTTACTCCTGATTAACAAACCCTGTTCCTGGTTCAGCTTCCAGATCAGGAAGGTTTCATTATCCTGTTATTAACTATCTGCATTCAAAGATCCTGTCAGACAGGAGAGATTCAATCATTAAATAAAAAAGCTTTTTATTTAGAAACTTGCTTTTCAGAAACCTGCAGCTGGAAATGGGATCAAATGAGAAGATCGGCTGTAACCTCAGCTAAACTTTGGCTCTTATCCTGCTGCAGCTCTACGCTCTTACTAAAACATTCTGCTGGATAAATACAAGTTAGAGCTGCATCCTCCGATCTGAAGGTTTATGTAGAAGAAGACAGACGGCAGGTGTGGGAGGAGATCTTCTCTCCTCAGGAAGAAAAGCCAGCTCCTTAAAACTAACTTAAATCTAAATTAGTATATTTTACAGCTTGGTCTGAGGGGAAATTCTAATTTTCATTTCTAGAAGCTAAAAAAGAAAAAATCTGTTCCAGAAAAAATTTCAGTCTTCAGTTTCAGTTTTTTTTTTTTTAAACATTTAACTTTTTTTTTTATTTTTATTAAATCATAATTTTATGGGATTGTTTTATTGTAAAGTTAAGCAGTCAAACGTTAGCAGCAATATTTATGGTTATTTAGCATATTTTAAGAGAAAAATAAGAGGTTTATTTTTTTCCAAGTCATTTTTTTCATTATGTAATTCATTCATTTATAAAAATCTTATTTTGTTAAATAAATACTTAGTTTTGAGATAAATATTTATTTTGCAAACCAAATATTTAATTAGCAAATTAAATATTTAGTTTGTAAAATAAATATTTAGCTCCAAACCAATAACTTAGTTTGTTAAATAAATATTTTGCTCCAAATTAAATATTTACTTTATTGAATAAATATTTTGCTCCAAATTAAATATTTAGTTTGTAAAATAAATATTTAGCTCCAAATTAAATATTTAGTTTGTTAAATAAATATTTTCCTCCAAATTAAATATTTACTTTATTAATAAATATTTTGCTCCAAATTAAATATTTAGTTTGTTAAAGCTACAGTGTGTAATAATTACAGGCATATAAAGTCAGAAATGTAATATATTATACATAACTATGTTATTTATCATCACCTATGAGCTCAGCCTCTTAACC